AGGTAGTAAGAAACATCCTAGATAATTTCATATGGAATTAAAACTACACATTTTCAATTCCAACAACTCCGGTAGAACTCAATTTCACTTGAAATTTTGTAGGATAACAAGTTTTATGATTTTGGGAGAAATTTACATCATTTTATAGTTAAAATAAATGTGGATTTTCAAATGAGTTCCACAAGTAAAATTATTTTGTTCTGAATATAACCCGGAAAAAAAAAGTTTTCATTCCCTAGTAAAAGAAAGGAAATATATATACGCCACGCGTATGGAATAATTTCACATTCAATTAGATATTAACCAAGCATCCCTTGTGAGGAGAAAAAAAGGTGTTAGTCAAGCTTTCAACGAATAGTGACAGGAAAGAACAAGAGTTATTTAAAAAAAGAAGAGGCAGGAACATAAAATTGGAAAATCCTTTTTTATCTAAGCAAGCTTTCCTCGTCTGGAGAAAAATATATATTTATCAAGCTTTCAAGGAGTTAGAGTGAAGAATAAGAGTTTCTTTTTAAGAAAACAACAGGGATATAAAATCAGCAACTCATATTTTATCTAACCTGCATCCTTGGCAGAAGTGACTGGGATGGCATAGTAGCTGACATATTTGGAAGCTGCAAAAGGAGAAGCAACAAAATCGAAAAGTAAACTGATGCTGTTAAAGAGAGAGCAAGAGATTTAAAATAGACAGTTAACCAAAAATGCAAGGTAGACAAGTAAACACTGGAAATGATGCAAAAGCAATCAATATAAATGGCAAATGTCTTTCACATGAAATTATAATAGATTAAAATAGCTTTATAGAACAGTAAAATAACCTTCTATTGCAAATGATTAATGCATTACATTAAACAGCAAGAATGTCTCTTTGACTATGAGGCAAAGTAATTGGGTTGTGGTTATTGAACTTGTTTCCTTTTCTCCTTTTTTTAGGAGAGTCTTTTATCATTCTCTGATGTTCACTGGCAGAGTCTATACATGTGAGACACATAACAAGTAAGAGAAAGACCTCTGGGTTGGAATGAATTTTATGTTTTAGAATAATTTTTTGGTCCAGATGAATTTTTTAGTTTCAAGAAGCTAACGGATTGGCTTTGACTAGGAGTCTTTTGGATAAGTGATCAGCAAAGCTTATAAGGAAACTGGTTGCCGGTGCCTCCTCTATACATGTAGCCATTTGAACAAAAATAAAACATCTGAACAATTAATACTAAGTTGGTTATAATGTCCATATACAATTCTGTTACAACAAGCCCTAGAGGATCACTATACATCCGCAACAAACAAGCTTTCTGATTGTTTCAAGACTTTGTTCTTAGTGTAACCATGACAACATCTCAGACCAAAGACTATAACAACTTTTTTTTTTGGGATTGTCTGATTTGATTGGTGTTGCTACAGGGAGTAGCAATTTTTTCTCCAACAAATATTTGAGACTAAACTAATGTATGCGCACCACAAATTCTTATAGCAATATCTCGCAAATAAGTAATCCAATGTCTTATTGGTTTGCTAAGGCCTGTCAACTCTTTTTCTTAAGCTCGTAAGCAATGGATATTCAGCTAAAATAGGCCATTGGCTGTTCGGACTGTTGGATTACTGCTTCGACGCCATGGTATGAGCATCACACTCTGCAATGAAGGATTAGGAAAAATCGAGGAGTGCTAAAACAAGTTTTTGAACAATCGTTCAAGGGCTGATGTTGCTTCATCCATCAAACAAAAGGCACCTTTTTTTGCATTTCAATCAACAGAACTGGCAAGGAACCCTCTTCAACTTGAAAGATATTAAAAATCCAAAAAACAAGTTAACTGCTGATTAACTACTAATAATAAAACTAGAAACCAGAAACTTAATCAGACTCAAGCTTCTCTAACTCCTCGCGAGCAAACCAGCACAAACCTCCCTTTGAGCAAACGCTTAACATGCTACACTTTTGTTTGGTTCAAAAGTTGTCAGCAATTTGTCAATTTGTCTTCCAAGTGTCTGACTTGCATCACTTCTCATGGGTCAAAGATGATGAGCTAAGGAGGTGGCAACCACATGTTACCAGTTTGTGCCACCTAACATTGGAAAAAAGATTATTACAATCTCAAGGAGCCAACATGTTTGGTTGCTAAGATTGTATATTGACTCTTTTGACACTCTTTTTGAACTTTGCCTGTATAAAGATATTTGATATAATGAGTATCTTGGAACAGAATTGATAGCATTTCCTTCCAAATTCTAGTTTCTCCTTTTCTCTGCACTTCTCTTCTTCTTCTCCCTCTTTTCTCCCTCCCATTTGCCTTTACCTTTTTCTTTTCACTCTTTCCCTCCTAGTCTCTTCTCTTTTTACCTTCTATATTGCTAAAACAGAGCTGGCCATTACCTTATTTAGTAGAAGTGCTTGTGTAATTACACAAATGTGCCCTACATTGCCTCTCCGTTTTAGAATGCTATTATTCAGTTCAGATGAATTTCTTAGTTTACAAAAAAGATTAGGATTTGGTTTAACTAGACATCTTTTTCCTTATACTATAAATTTGGATAATGGATGATTAGCAATGCTGATCCAAGAAAATATGGAACTGGTTGCTGCAGCCTCAATCTATATATAGCTCTTTGGAACATGAATGAATCATTTGGACAATTGTTACTAAATTGATACTAATCTCTAGAGATTGAGGGTTCTCTTTGGGAATTTCTAGATTATAGGTCAACAAGGTAGGAGAGCTGACCCACTTGTTGCAAAACTGTGGTTTGCTGACCCATGACAAGCTCCAAACCTCAGTGACCATAGGATCTATGTTGGTCTTTTCTTTCTCTAATATTGCTTCTTTTTTCATCCAAAAGAATTTCTCAGCTAAAACTAACCATGCTAATCAAGTGGAATGGATTACTATCATTCCTCTCAATATATGCAGCATCTTTGTAACAGTAGCTGCAATGAAAATTACAACCAAATGAATCTGCAAGCATTGCAATTAACGAAGTGCAAGACATACAAAAGTGGAATGATCACCACTGAGTAAATAACATATGATGATTTTTTTAGAAAAAGAAAAAAACTAAAATCAACAC